GGCCTCCCACTAATGACCAGGCCTTAAAATACCACCCAGTCTATTTTCATCGTCCATCCAGGGAATGGTTGTTTTGTTTCTGCATATGTATGTGTCTGTGTCGCATGTCCATAAGTGTATGTGGGCACATGTACCTGTGTGCATGTGTGCCTATGGATGCCAGCAGGGGACAGTAAGTGTCTTTCTCAATCACTCTCCACCTTTTATGTTGTGGCAGGGTTCCTCACTGCGCTCAGAACTCACTGCCTGAGCACTTGCCTCAGGGATCCCCTGTCTTCACTCCCCAAGTGCTGGGATTATAGATGGGCCACCACCCCCATGCGGCATATATGTGGGTGCTGGAGATTTGAACTCAGGTCCTCATGTTTACACATGCATTCGTGGTTTCTTCAACCATAGTTCACAAGAGAATGGAAAGATTATGCAGGGAGATGAACAAGACACTGTCACTGTGCCATTAACCTTGGTTCCCCAAACAGGAACCTGCATCCTTTCTCTCGAAGGGCTGGGATGTGACAGGCAGAGGAGGAAGGTTAAAAGCAAGAGTTAGAAGCAGGGCCTGGTGGCACATGCCTGAAATCCTAGCCATGGGAAGCTGAAGCAGAGAGAGAGAAAAGAAGTTCAGGGCTAGCCTGGGCTAAATGGACTGGTATAGTTCAGCCTGGGCTGTTTAATGAAAACTTGTCTCAAGAAAGGTGAGAAGGTGAGAGGGAGAGAGAAGGAGGGAAGGAGAGGGAGGAGAGAGAGAAGAGAGAGGAGGGATAGGAAATGAAGAGAGGGAAAGGGGAGAGAACAGAAAGAGGGGGGAGAAGGAAAGGGGGGGTCTGGAATCCCGGTGTGAGATGAACCCAGAGCCTGAGGCATGCAGGCCTTGAGTTCACCCTGCTATGAGATAGTTAGAGGTGGGGGTTCTAGGAAAGGAGAGACAGACGGGAAGGGAAAGAAGCAGCAGGCACAGGGAGAAACTTCAGAAGGAGATGGGCAGGAGGCAGGTGACAAATGAAGGCATGGGAAGAAGCATCTCAGAGCTCTAAGACATCCATCCCCCCACCCAGATCCAGCCCTGGGTCCAGCTCGGAACCCCCCATTACCCTGTCTCTGTAGGCCTGGGTGTATCCATTTGAGAAGTGGGGTGCTGGTCAGATCTGACTCAGTGTAAAACCCTACACTGCTACATCTCCAATCCCAGACCATCACAAGCTACAGTTCCAGACTTGGTCTCCAAAATGACTGGAGAGATGGCTCAGTGGTTAAAAGTGCTTACTGCTCCTGCAGAGGATCCGAGTTCAGTTCCTAGCCCCAAACTGGTTGGCTCACAACCACCTTTAACTCCAGCTCCTGGGCTTCTGACTCCCTCTTATTGGCCTCTGTGGATACATACATACAT